ATTGATTTTAATTTAATACACATATTTTTCTTGGTAACAATGTGTGCTTGCCAAGAAAACTGCAGGGACTTGTCCAGGTAGTCGCCAGGAGTCAAGACAGACTCAAAGGCATCCCCCACCCCCCAAAAGCCAAAATCAAGCCAAACATATTATGGCTTCAGATGTTGTAAGAATCAGGAGTCTGAATTCTTCAGGTGTTTGGGCACTTCCACTAGCTGTTCAACACAGTATGTGAAGTTCTTTGTTTTAGTATTATTAATTTAGTACCACTGTAGCTATATATTTTTAGATGCAATCCTATACAAACTCAGCTTTATACCACTTGAACAATTGTGGTTCTACAGTCTTTTTTTGTTGTTGTTGCTGGTTTCTTATAGATATCTGACTGGCCATTGCAACAACAGAAGGGTAGACCAAATATGACTTTTGTTCCAACCAACAAGGGTCTGATTATCACAATAAGCCATATTAAACAATGGTGCTTACTTCTCAGTAGTCACAAGTAAGATTGCACTGTAACTTATATGTTTATAATACAACCTCAAGGCCCAAAATCCATGTTTAATTCCTCAAAAAGAACTAAGATACTGGAAAAATAAAACTAAAGGATGTGTATGATGGAAGTAAAATGAGTCAGTTTTTTACCCACCAGTCACTGCTTAATTAATTTGTATTATAATTATCCATGACAGCCATTACTTTACTAGCGAATGCTTTCTGCTTCTCATGCTCCTAATTCCAAACTAGTCCAACCAGCTGAAATCATGTGCCCTTCCCTTGTTCAGTATTTTGTCCCAATGTACCGGAAATGCTCTCCAACCCACAGTCTCTCTAGCTTAATTTCAACCTATTGATGTTAATCCACCATTGTACTATAGAGTCACTAAAGACATGTTGCCTGAATCAACAAAACCTGGAGCTTCTTCCTTTCCCTGAAGCATATGCATAACAGCAAGATCCCAGGCCTTTCTCAAGGAGGCAAGCAATATTCTGGGATTGAAAAAAAAATGATCAGACAAGCAAGTTACAAAGAAAATATTTTATTAAAAATTTCACTGTCAGAGAGGAAATCCAGAATTTAAAGGCTCAGAAAGCAGTGAAGTTTTACAGAAAGAGGGGGAAAAGGTGAGGTTGACAGCTGTATTGTGGAATAACCAGGCCAACCAAAAAGGACAATGAATAATCTCGTCTCCTCCCTTTAAGGCACAATGACCAGGTTTGTCATTTCCTTCCCCACCTCATTCTGCCACTTCCCACAGAAGCTCAGCCAGTTCCATACTCGAGGTCTGTCCCTTGAGGGAATAAAAAGCTGTCTTCCCTTCAGGTAATTCCCTAACTAATAACTTCTCCTGTTCATTTTGCTGAAACCTCTTCAGCTTAGCCAGCAGAGGTTTATATCCAAGCAAAGAATCCTTATATACATCAATAAAACAAAATCTCATAACATCTACCAAAAAAGGAATAAACAAAATAATTATCTCCTCTTTACTTTAACTTCATATCATAGAGTATTTCCAAAGTTATATACAACTTCATACAGAGTGGATATGAGTATATTCACTGACTTCACAGGCTAACTTTCTGTGCCATACAGACAGAGAGGAAGATGATTCAATTTCTAAAGCAAGATTCAGATTTAAAAGCAATATTTAGCTTTGCTATTTGATTCTCAAGAGAGTCAAGCAAGGACTGGGCAATTAACTACAAGCCAACTATGGGTCAATCTACTCATATATTCCACCAATGAGAAATACCTCCTCCCACTGTGGAACGCCCTGAGCTCTTGGGAAGATTCAGTGCCCTCAGAAATGTCTGACAGTCTCACATGAAAACTCTCCAGATGATGGGAGTGATCTACACAGTGACCCCGAAGCAATCCATGACAGCACAACCCCTTTTCAAAATTGCCTTCCTTCCACACATAGGCACACACAGACTTACACTGTTCAGGAGTTCTCTTCAAGGCACCCTTCCTCAAATGAGCAGAAATCAGGAGGTATAGCCTGCTCCCCTATTGGTTGAGGACATTTTTGAAAACGGATGGAGAATTTGTTCCAGGCATCTCTATCCACAAAATGAACTAGTGCACAGGCATAAATGTAAATTATCAGATGCAAAAAAATGTAAGGCATCAAATTCCAAACTGGGGTGTAGGTCAAAATGGGAAGAGGAAAGGGATAAAAATATCTTACACTGAACAAACAGGAAGGGAAATGAAAACATCACAGGCATCAACTTATATACTCCATATAGCATATTTATGGTGAAACTGGGACAAACTTGTATTCTATCTCTATAAAGTCTGGGGTCAACACCTGCTACTTTCTCTATATTTAACCATGGCTGTCCAAGAAGCAGAATCTGACAGTCTTCATGACTCTCCTTTTGTCCAAAATTCTTGTGAAAATTAGCTCTGAAAAGCTAATTTTGAAACTCCCCCCTTTGTGAGGACAGTATTTAACTACTTAACAAGATTGCGTAGTTGGCGACAAATTAGAAAATGAGGAGCATCCTCTTTTCTGTCACATTTTGATTCTAAAAATAAATACATATGGATGAAGCACTCAAACAGTAATGTAACATTAAACTAGAAATGACAACCTTGAAGGTAGGAATGGAGGGGAAATCCAGAAGAGAAGAAAGGCAGAGCTAGATTTTCAGTCATGACCTAACTCCTATTTCCTCTTATATGCATTCAGATCAAATCACAATGTTGTCTGTTTTCCATGTAGTGGTAATCTAGGTATTTAGGATACACTGATGAGCAAAGGCTTCAACACAGAGATTAACAGATTTGTGAAAAGAACAGCAGTTTTACTTAAGTAGTCCATCAAATTCTGTGTGCTATCAGTTTAAAAACTGCATGTTGCGTGACCCTGACTTTGCATCACTTTTTGTATCAGTTAAAACACAGGGAGGGTGGCTTTAAGGCAGCATAGGTTTTAAACAGAAAGAAATAGGGAAGGAGTAAGAAATGTTCTTTCTCTCTCTCTCTCTCTCTCACACACACACACACACAAATGCGCACGCACGCACAAACACACAGAGAAATGTAGACTTCAGTGGGTTTGTAGGAAGAAGGATTCCATTCACCAGATTAAGCCATGGTTCCTTCAACAGGTATAGCAAGTCCTTAAACTTAAAATAACCTTCATTACAGAACTCAGGGAAGCATGAACTCAAAAAGCTGTCAGTGTATTGTCAAAAAGGGAAAGGGAGAGGGGGCTAATCTTCTGGTCACTCCTTGTCCTTAGAAACTGTCACAGGTTCAGGACAGGTAGAGCTTGTAAGCAGCTATTGGATAGTCTAAGGAAACATGGAAAGTAGGAAGGACAAATCCTTCAACAGATTCCCCTCACCGCCCCCCAGCCCAAACAAGCATCATCAACAGTTAATAAGACTGTCCTTCCCAGAAATGGAGGATAACTCTACAAAATCAGATGGGCTTTGTGGTGCTGTTGTACACCAGATGTTCCGTGTCTTCAGCAGTAGACAGGACTGAAGAGAGAGTGGAATTAGCTGCAGTAGCTGGCTGGCGACGTCGTCGATACTTTTTCCTATTCTTTAGGAAGAAGTAGCCAAGGATAGCCAATACTATCATGATGCAGACACCAAGGAGCACAGCAATGGCTATTTCAAAAGCACCTAAGAGAGATGGAGTGGGGGTAGAAGATGGGGAGAGAAATTATGATTTACCCAGGAGAGACTATAAAAGGAATGGCTTTATACTAAAGTTGTCACAATCCTCTGTTATGCAAACATTTCAAGACACATTTTCACTTTATGCAGAATGCCTAATCCATTCAGAAAAAAAGTAAAAACTATCTCTGCAGGACTTTTCCTAAAAAAATGACAGTACAAGATCAGCCTAAATCCAGCTCTAGGAAACTATAATTATAATGCAACATTCTCAGGTGGGCATATCTGCTGATGTCATATTGACAAAGAAAATGTTGGGAGTGGAGAGTGAACTCATTCTTGGAAATACTTGTCTTAACTCAGGATTCTAAAAGTCGCTGCACTTTGGTATCAAAATTATACCATACCCCACGAAAACAAAATATATGTTCTTGTGGGGGGAGAAGGCTAGAAAGAATTCTTGATCCAGTAATTTTTTGTGGGAGCAAAACAATTTCCCAATGTGTACAGATTTTAATCAATATTACATCTAAATGTATTTAATTTCCATTCCAATTCATTTTTGTAACAAGAACTTTCTACTAATAAATTACAGCCATTCTTAGAATAAACTTAAACTCCCCCCACTACCAGGATTCATGTACTTCAACCACTTTTCTCCAGAATGAACCGGACTTGGATGACCTGCAGAAGCGGATTTAAAGGCCACAATCATGCCTGCATGGCCAACAAATGGGTGGGGAATTGTGGAACTTGCAATATATCTGGAAACTACTAACTTGGGAAATGATAATATATCTACTTATATGAGAATATGCTCCATTTAACTCAATGGGGCTTACTGCTAAATAAACATATCCAGGACTGCCCTGTCAAAATAATCATCTGAAAAAGAAATTAATGATATATTTCATGTTACTTTTTACCGCAATTATCACCTACCAGCCACTGATTATGGAATTGTTATATAGTGTGCAAAATTTGGCAACGGTACATTGAAAGGTATCAGAGAATGTTCTGTCCCCTCCTCAGACCATGGCGGATCCAGAGTGCCATATCCAGGACTCCTCAAATTGCTCCCAGTTTAGGGAAATTTACTTCTGGAAACCTTTGAACTGGTCCTGAAACAGCATGATGCAGAGGAAGCTGAGCAGAGCCCAGAGGGGGAAGAGAACATTCTGTTCTTGAACTGCTGAATTTTGCACATCCCTAGTGATGTCACAGTGCACGGACAGGAGACAATAACTTTCTAGACATGCTGAACCTTCACTGTGTGTTACATTTGTTTCAGGCATTAACACATTTGGGTGTCTATTCAGATTTTTTCATTCTTATTTCACTGATATGCTAGATCTTAATTAAAGACCATAAGTGAATTATTAGGTCACTAAAAACCAATCATGAACAAAAACATGTTAAGTATTTTCTTATTATTAGTACTTTTGAGTTTATACATTTATTCATTCATTTTAAAAATATTAGACATACTAGGTTCTTGAATCCTTGTTATTAATAAAATGTGCTTTATGGAATTATAAAGTGCAAGTTGTATAAATCTTATTTTCCCTTTTTCTATTGTTTTAATTCTTGGGATCAAACTCCTTTTGTGAGTATATACAGTCAGGTCCAGAAATATTGGGACATCGACACAATTCTAACATCTTTGGCTCTATAC